AACTCTATCATATGAGAAAACAGAAATGGGACATTTTAGTAATCATAAACAATTGAGTAATTTACATAATAATAACTGCACATATCTTTGAAGAATAATTTTCTTTATGTATTCAGTTTCTTTCTTCAACACGTTTCCTTTTCATTTTAGAATTTTTGGATTTAATTAAGGATTTCTGTTATTCTAAAAAACACTAAATGCATTTAGAATGTATAGAAAAAGAGGCTAATTTTATTTCTTTAGTAATATGAACATTTAGAAGAAATCTGAAATATATATGGTAAAGGCTGGTTACAGAGCTGATGTGGCAGAATTTTGAGCAGGCATTAAAAGCAGAATTTAGGACCCACAGAGATTGCATCAGGTGAGAAAATGCCTAGTGCCAGCTCTGCATATGATGCATTAAGATATATTTGATGAAGCTTTTAAATTGTAAGTTTTCAACTCCCTTATCAATTAAAAATCCCTTTCTATAATACCTGCCCATGTGATAATATTAGAAGCATTTTTGATATTTTCCACGCTTGTGTCTAGTGAAAAAAAGAGAAAATAAAGGGAAGATAAACATGTTAAGAAAAGATTCTAGTATCAGGTGTAAAACATTCAAATATGTTTTTTTTTTTTTTTTTTTTTTTTTTTGTTTTTTTTTTTTTTTGTTTTTCTTCCAGACGTTCTTCCAAAAAGTAAGAAATTCATTGCAAACTTTCTGTAAAATACCATGGAGACATTTTTCATTTTTTCACATATTTCTCCAATTTTCTATAATCGTGAGTCTATAAATCTTGGCTTCAAATTCTTCCAAACTGCAATGTCTAAAATCCTAAAGAAAAAGTATGCCTAACAATTCTGTAACAGCAAAAAGGCAGAAATATTTTGTAAAAAAAAAGGGAGGGAAAAAGTGTAAAATTAATTTTAGAGAAAACTGATGCATATTCTGAGACTATTACACGGGAAAAACTCTTACTATGAAAAAATTGAAAAGAAGACATTTTTAATTAATTACATAGCTAATTTTGCTTTTGCTAAGAGGTGTTTCATAAATTGTGCTTTATAGCATTATACCTTGTTTATTTTTCAGATTCAAAATATTGTACAATAAGTTGCCAAAATGAAACTATAATATGACAGAGAAAAATAAAAATGTTTTATTTTAATGTTATTTTTAAAATATACTTTCAATATATTACCATTATTTTAATGAAGTTTATCAATGTTACGATGTTTTAAAAAAAAATCGTCGAAAAATTCTGATATCAGAATTAAAAATTTTCCATAGAAATTGATCTTAAAATCGGCAAATTTAGAACCGTTTAATTAAAGAATTCACATCCCAAAAGTGAAAAGTTGTTTTAAAGCTCTTTATTAGAAAAAATGTATTTCAAAATGCTTGTGTTTCACTTCTTGCTTAGAAACTCGAGTATCCCACCATCTATATTAGAAATAGAAACAAATTATAACCCATGAACGCATTCGAAAGATAACCACATACAGTACAGTGAATCGCCAAAAATATTCCCCGAACATGCCAATTCACACTCAAAATGGCAGTCGCAAAAACAGACAGAAATTTCAGATGAATAAAATTAAGGACCTTCTGCTGAGTTTGAACAAAATTAAGGACCAAAAATCGATTAAAAAAAATCTAAGGACTTTTAAGGACCGTATCAACCCTGTTTATGTTGCATATCGGATTGGTGGGGGCATGGTCGGAAATCGAGAGAGTTGGCAACTCTCTTTTGTTTCCTTGCTAGGTTAAGCTCAAGTTACTAAAAGTGAACTGAGTTTAAGGATTTTGCCTTTAACTTGGTTAAGTACTAAGTGAAAGTCCTATTAAATGTAATTCCAAAATAGTATTTAATCATATTCACAAAATGAGACTTAGCCATAATATTGTTCTTCTACAAAATTTTGCAGAATTCATTTCATTTTCATTGTGTAGATTATTCTTCTTTCGAAGGTCTTCCTTACAGAGGAAAGTAAGGTCATCTGTTTAATTGAGACAATTTCGGGAGACACAGAAAGCTTAGAAATAAAAAATATGAATATATACCCATGCTGATGAGAAGTAACAATATCAAAGTCAAACGCTATTCATACTACAATGTTTAGTTTGAGAACTTGAAAGTCCCCCCGACTGGAAATATTGCCAAAAGATTAATCTTAAATTAATATATGGAAACTTTTTTATCCAGTTTTGATAAAAGCAGAAATTTTTATATATAAAGTAATATATAAAATGCAAAGTGACAAAAAATTTGCAGACACAACATCAAATCTTATTACAAACTGAACTTTGCAAGACGGCACTGCAGCAGAACTAACGAGCATATGTGCCATCTATCATGTCTACATAAAAGCTCTATAATGGTAGGCTAATATTTTTTTCCAAAGTAAAATTTTCACTGTTGAATGATATTTTGACAGTTGTTTGCATCCATGTATTTTAGATGAGTTTTGCCAGGAATATCTGAATGTGGCACTGTCTGACAACTGGACAACTGATTTTGATAATGCAGTTTAGTTTGACATGAAAGAGGTTTGAGAGCTTAGCTATTTTGATTGAAGCTAAACTTGCAGATGGTTAGGTTATTGAAATACACTCATGTCCATAAATTAAGGATAATGCAAAATCAGGCAAAGGAAGAGTTAGAAGCAAAACAAATTTGACTTATTTGTAAAGCTTATTTATTAAACAAAAGGTAAAGAGCAAAAAAGGATGCTATATGTTTGATATTATTAAAAAAATTAGCGATTTTTTTCTCCCTGGAGCAAATTACAAAAAAAAAAAAAACCTATTTACAAAAAACCAATATTACATGGTTGGTACGATTGTTAATACATTGTATGTCTCCCAGACAATGCGATACAGTCCGTACAACGCCTAGGCATACTGAGTATCAAATTATCGATCTGATCTTGGGGAATATTACATCACTCAAAAAGCAATGCTTTCCGAAGTTCTGGTAGATATGCAGGAGGAGGTTGACGGGCTGCAACTCATCGGCCAAGCATGTCCCACACGTGCCTTACTGGATTCAAGTCCGGTGAGAATGCTGGCCAGTCAATACGGGTGATATCCTCCGATTGAAGGCATTCGCTTACAATGTTTGCACGGTGAGGACGAGCGTTGTCATCCACAAACACAAATTGTGCGCCCCGAAACCAACGTACATGTTGTTCCAGAATGATGTCCCGATAGATTTGGCTTGTCATGGTTCCAATTTGAACATGCAGGTCAGTTCTGGAACCCAGAATAATTCCACCCAAAACGAGCACTCCTACACCACTGTAACGGTGTCGTTCAATGATGTTTTTCTTGGTAACGGGTACCTGGAGCTCTCCATATGAAAGTCCGGCGAGAATCAGACTGCAAGCTAAACCTGGACTCGTCGGAAAACATCACACAAGCCCACTGTTGCGGTGTCCACAATGCATGCTCTCTACTCCAGGCTAACCGCAGGCGACAGTGAGTTGCAGTAAGTGGAACGCATCTGACAGGTCTACGAGCATATAGACCAATCTGCCCTAAGCGTCTGTACACGGTCTGCCTTGAAATTGTCGTACCAGTAGCTGAAGAGAGCTGACGAGACAGGTCTGAGGCTGTGCTCCACCTGTTTCTTTTGGCATTAACTGCCAAATACCGGTCCTCATTCGGCATTGTAACTCCTTCCAATTGGGTACGCCCACATTCCAGACGGCCAATAATTCTACCACGTAAAAAATCATCCAAATGCGTCCTTTGTGTCGTAACTATTCGGTTATTGCACCGAAATGCTTATAAAGCACCTGCGAACAATTTTACTTCTTTGCCTGTATTCCTTATATATCACTCTCTTACACTCTCGTTATTGTGACGTACCATCGGTGTCATCTGGTTACTTCCTGAAATTTGCATATGATTCTTGAAGATGTGTGTAGTGATTTTACAGGTGATATATTTATTTTAGAGTTCGATTTCCGCGTGACTCCGAATTATCCTTAATTTATGGACATGAGTGTATGACAAAGCACACAAGGTCTACTTGGCTACAGGAAGGGATGTCTTTGTGGAGCTAGGTAAACTGGCTTGTATTCACGTTTCCCATGCAGAAATCTATGAAAAACATCCATGCAGCCAGCCCATTCACCTGGATTCGAACCCCGGGCAAACTAGCAATCATAGTCTTAACCACTTGGCCAATGGTGGGGCTATTAAACTGGTAGAAGCTGAGTAAATGTTGCAGAAACTGGCTTGAAAAACCCTCAAGAAACTATCTGCACAATCAGTAGTTATGTATGAGAATGCTCAGAAAGCACAAAAAAAAATTAACTTTTATATATATCAACATTCGTTGTATGCAGGAACTGAAGGAATTAGATAAAGAGAAATATTTAGTGTAAATATGCATAATGTCTATATAAGAGCAATGTAAACAAGATTTATAAAAACAATACATATATCCTGAAAGACCTTTAATGAAGAAGATCACAACAATGGTTAGCAACACAATATCAGTGTACAGATGCTCCAGAAAGTAACCTCAAACTTTAAAATAAGGTTGCCCATGCATTACAAAACAGAACTGTCATTTCAAGCATATACTGTACGACATGATTTGCTGTTGCATTTGTACAATGTAAATAAATAAACATAAGTATCATATGTCTTGCAGTCTGTGCATTAAACCAATAAACTTTACTTACTTGTTGCGATGTGCACAATTTTTCAAACACCCTGTATTACTCAAACAATTAATTTATCAAAATTGATTTTAGTTGAATGTTTTCATGCTTCTTTCAGATGCATCAGAATTTTGCAATATAAACAGTACTTTACTGATTATTATTTTTTACATAATTTTAACTAATATGTAATTATACTAAGCCGCTAAAAATTATTGTTATTATTTTCACACTTTTAGCATGAAGACAAGAGATAACTCTCTCCTGATAACACTTTTAACACAAGACAAGAGATAACTCCTAAGATAGCTCTTGAGGACACTGCCATACTCAATTCATCAATCAACAATGATAGGCAGACACTTTATTTCATGAATTCTGAAGTAAATACATTTGCAGTTATTCGATCCAAACTCTTTAAGCTTGAAAATCACAATAATTATTCAATATTTGAGAAAACATCCAGATGTTATTTTAATAATGCTTGTAATTTCACTAATAGCATAACCTTAAAATATGAAAAACTGAGTTTTCAGGGGGTTTTCAAGTAGCACAGCAGTGCCATTTCAAATTTCAGACCGACTTAAATTCACTTTACAATACATGATTCAGGTTATTGAGCTACTTATAATATTCTGACATAAAATGTGTTAATACTTAATTAAAAAGTAATTAATAAATTGTATGTGCTTCAGCTAACTTTATTTTATGATTAAAAAAATCCTGAGTATGGCTTTGTATTGATTAAAGTACTTCTAAATGTGATAAAAATAAAATTAATGGTTATGATTAATTATATAATTGTATGGACAAACTTAGTAATATATCATTTATTGATGTAAAATAAAATTATATACAAATATTAAATTATTAAAGATGTTTGAATCTTCATAAAAGTTCTACACAAGTTGATAACATATTAAGACAATTCAGATCAAATAAACTTTAATAAGAAAAGTTACACTGAAAATTATTAAAAGTAGGAGAATGATATTTGTACATTCATTAATTCAATAAATTTAATAAATAATTAGCAAAAACTTTCCTTAATAAAGGCTGAAAATTAAAAATCTTTGGAAGATGTGATGCAAGAGCTGGCAGGCTATGTAGCTCATTCATCATTTTTTACCATATTTTAAAGATTCAGATACCTAAATTTCAGTCATAATAACAGTGAATAAATTTTACTAAAAAATGGTAAAAATGAATTGATTTTAATTTTAGTATTTTATGTAGAAAATCTGTGGGCTTTTATTAAAGAAACGTGAACATCAAAATATTACCTTTACTTCAAAAGTTTATCATTTTATTTGCTTTTTTTAAAATGTAATTAAAATTTAAATTACCAAGTTTAACAGGTCAACTTTCAATTCTGATTAGCCCGGAATTATATAAGTTATTACCTATCAATATTAACAACACTTTTTTTAATCATATAGCATCAAAACATGATTGAAGAAAACGAAACACAAATAACAATAACATCAGACACATTTTACGACTAATATTCTTAAATTCTTTTTGCCCTTACTTTTACAATAGAATATGATACTACTAATAAATACAGCATATTTAAAGTGCATGAGATAAAATACTGTAGTTAAAAAAATAATGCTAGATTTATTATAAAATCAAACAGATCTGCAATTACAATATATCTCTACATGGTAAAGTCAGAATAAAGTGTACATTTGTAAGGGGGGTGTTAACAAAAAAAAAAAAAAAAGTTATTTTTACACAGTGGTTATCATTTAATTTTTTTTGATAGATTTATATGTAAGTTAAATTACTAGAAACTTTAATGATGATTATTAACCTCTTAAATACTAATGATGATGCAGTTTCATTGTGCTCTTTCAAATTTACATTTTTAAACATTTAATAAATATTTTATAAAATGTAAAAGCAGATGCAAATGTGTAACAGAGAAATTTATTTCAAAAATGATCACATATGAAAAATAAACAAAACAAACATTCAGACGTAATAAGTCCAATTTGCAAACACAAATTAGTACTAGGATTCAGTCTTGACAAGAACACCTGATGAAGATGCTTCAGACTCATCCTTCATTGGTTCCAACATGGGAAATGGGGCCTCTTTCCTAATTTGAATGTTGTACTTTTCTTTAAACTCATTAATTTCTCTGCCTTTCTTTTCAATCTGTTGATTTAAATTCTCTAGAAATACTGCTAACTGCAAAGAAAATGCAACAAAAATTTCAATTAAAAAAAACTTCACTCTAGGTTTTTTTTCATACATCGTATAAAACTATGTATATATTACATAAGCTTTCTTCTAAATAACAAAGACGGAAAAAAATCCTTAGAGGATTCGACTAAATTATGCTGTTCAGATATTACATTTCTATTTACAAAAATCAAAATGTGTTATATCTAATTTCCTATAGCTAAATTATCATGTGGTTAATTTTTTTTTTATTTCTTGACAAAAATACATTTTTTTAAATACACAGTGCATTTCAAAAAGAATATGCATATTTCGAATGCACATATTTATTAAACTGTATGGCATACGTGTGTGTGTGAGTATGGCAAAGCCTCGAGGGCTATCTGCCTAAGAGGAGGGATGCCTTCGTGGAGGACTTTCTAAGGGAAACTGGCTCGTATACACGTTACACATGGGGAAAAACCACGAAAACGCCCACGCAGCCAGCCCGTTCGTGGGATTCGAACCTCGGACCGAACTACCAGTGTTCAGCGACTTTACCGCTCGGCCGCTGGTGGGCCGTATGGCATACGAATATGAAACTTTATACACATATGTACGAACCCTCTCAAGTTCAGATTAGAGATGTTACAGATGTTCAATATGTCCTCCATCAGCGACATGAACAATATCACATTGATACTCAAATTCCTCCCATACTCGGGCAAGCATGTCTGTCGTCACTGATGTTATGACAGGACAGATCTGGTTCTTCACCTCTTCCAGGTTCTGTGGGGAATGGTGGTACATAAATGCTGTCTTTAATGAAGCCCCACAGGAAAAAGTCAAATCTAGTGACCGTGGAGTCCAGCTGAGACATGTTCAGTCGCCAGCTCCTAGACGACCAATCCAACGGTTTGGCAGAGTTTCATTCAGATAATCACGCACTTGGTGACAAAAGTTCGGGGGTGCCCTATCTTGTTGAAAAATGAAGTTGTCTTCGTGCAGCCTCGGAAACAACCAGTTTTGTAACATAGTGAGATACTGCTGACTGTTAACCATGTTTCCATCAAAGAAGAATGGGCCGTAAACAGATGATCAGAATATCGCACAAAACACATTGATTTTGGGCGAATCTCATACATGTTCAATGGCTGCATGTGGGTTCTGTAGGCTCCAAATTCGAACATTGTGTTTGTTTACATGACCACTAACATGAAAAGTCACTTCATCACCGAACACGATGCTGGTGCGAAAGTGTTATCATTGTCAATACCATCAATAATCTTGTTACAAAATTCCACAGGTTTGCGTTTGTCATCAGGACGCAGAGCCTGTAACAAATGTAACTTGTATGGCTTCATAACCAACTGACGTCTCAAAACATGCCAAATTGTTGTTGAAGGCAGTAATAACTCCCAACTGGCCCGACAAGTTGATTTTAAAGGACTACGTTGGAAAGCAGTTTGAATTTGTGCAACAATTTCATTGAGAGTACAAGGGCGGCCAGGACTCTTTCCTTAACATACACATCCTGTATATCCTGTATTTACAAATTGTCGAACATCTGCGAATGTTCCACCCAATCGGAAGATCACTTTAGTACCTTGACTTGAAACATCTTTGCACTGTAAAGATGAAATTGAGCTTCACAAACTCAACACAAAATGATTTCTGCTGCAGAGTATTCATTTTAAGCATGTGATGGTTACCACACAAAACAGAAGACAACTGACATCTAGCAGCTATTAATATATACTAGACTACGTATTAGTTTCCCCAATAGCCGAGCCGAGGCACAGTAATCGATAGTTTGGACAAAATAACACTTTGTAATACTTATATTCTTTTTGAAACACGGTGTATATAACAGAAAAATATCTATATATTTAAGCATTGTAAGTGGTCAAAATTTGCATGCTAATCCTTCTTTTTCAAACTTTTTCTAGCATGGGAAAATTTTTATTGTTCTTACTTTAAGTTCTTAGACGGCTTTCTTTGCCTTTTTAATTTGTTCCTCATCCAAGAAAATTCGGTGTTTCGGATCTACATATATTGAACCCAGCAAGATCTCATTGTCTAGCAAACTAGTTTCTCTTTTCTTCATTGAAGAAATGATTCCTTCGGCAATAAACCCTCCATTTCAGAAAGAACAAACATCGCATCCTTCCATTCTAACCTCCTGCCAATTCTTTAGATTGCAGCCTTTTTGTGGCTATATTCGGTGTAGAAAGAAGAGCTTCCAATTTTGCAAGATCATTCCAGTCTTTCTGTTAGTGAAACATTAGGGTTATCTAAATCTTCTAAAAACGTTCTTAATTCTAACAACCTCTTTATCATCAAATATGTACTTTCTTATCACGTTGCTTAATTAATAATTGCTCTTTTTCCTGCTCGCTTCCTAAGAATGGCATCAATTTTGGTAGTCCTTGCTGCTAGTGCTGCTTACCTAAATTTGCCAGTGAGATTTGTAACTAAATGAATCAATTTAATCACTAATGGCAAATATCACATCCATTCTCCTCCCTTATATTTATTAATACATCAATAAAATAGAAAATAACTATTTATTAATGTATATAGTTCATAAATAAAAATAATAACTCAGCTTGTCATTAATTTTTTTTTCAATTCATTTGAAGTTCAAACTGTCCAACAAAAATTGGAGTCGGAGTCGACCTGTTTTTAGCAACTCCAGCTCAGACTCCTTTTACCCTAAAATCTGCCCAATTCCGATTCCACGACTCCACAGCCCTGCCAAATACGTTGGTGAAAGACTGAATATTTGGTTATATTCTTGTACATTCAGACTATCACCGGTGTATGTAGACAATCTCCGATATACTGTGGTGGAGGTCGAAAAGAGAAGTCGAGTCCAACAGAGGGGCAACTGTCTGTCACCAAATTCTTTGCTCTGCTGTGATTGAAATTATGTAGCATTTATTTGTTATACTTTGGAACACTGTTTGTCAGTCTTATGCTAGGTTTGATGTTACGCGCAACGTTTTCTTAATTTTTTTTTTTTTTAATCCAATACCCTAATTTAGGTTGAATGGATACTGCAGTGAATCGTGAACTTTTACTTGAAAATTTAAAATACATTAATTGCGAGTAAACAAGAAGACATTTGTTTTTATTTTTCAAACACATCTCTCCTCACAGGGCTATATTTAGCATTAAACCAAAAAGAGGCATAGCATCGTCTTTTTTGCCTGGCGAACAAACCACAAATATATATATACCACAATAAACCCTCCATTTCAGAAAGAACAAACATCGCATTCTTCCATTCTAACTTTCTGCCAATTCTTTAGATTGCAGCCTTTTTGTGGCTTCTTTTTCTTTTTTATCCAATACCCAAATTTATGTTGAATGGATACTGCAGTGAATCGTGAACTTTTCCTTGAAAATTTAAATACATTAATTGCGAGTAAACGAGAAGACATTTGTTTTTATTTTTCAAACACATCTCTCCTCACAGGGTTATATTTAGCATTAAACCAAAAAGAGGGACAGCATCGTCTTTTTTGCCTGGCGAACAAACCACAAATATTGAAACTGAAGAACAACTCTTAAGAAATTGCTAATACTTTTTAAACCAAAGAACAGCTCGAAGAAATTGTTAATACTTTTGAAGAAAACCTGAGCAGTGGCCATAGCGAAACCATATTCCAAAGAAAAATATTGAGGAGGACCTGCAACCTACCACGTCTTCATATCAAGACTGAACTGAACAACACGAGTTAATTTCTATAAAAAGATTGGCCGTGAAAGAGAATCCTTTATAAATCCAATGAAAATGTTACGAACCTCAAAAAAAATTTTCTCCTGCTCAAATTGGTGATACCGTACGAATACAAGTCCCTGATGTTGACCGTGGTTGTACAGATGGCCGAAATGCGTTGACAGTTGTTGTTAGAATGAGACTCTGGCTTTTATAAACTAGCAAATAAAAATGACACCTTCAAGCCACTTTATACGCGTAATCAGTTCATAATTTGTAAAGAAAAGTTACTTTCCTTAGATGAGATTCCTTCTCAAGTAATGTCACTGAGAGAAGCAGCTGATTCGAGAAGTAGAGGGCAAGGCTATACTGCAATGTCAATGCAAAAGAAAGTGTTCCACAACTAAATGCATTTGTAAAAGCAAGGGACTCTTGTGCAATTCAAAATGTCGTAAAAGTTTATGTTGTTGCAATAAAATAAGATTTTAATTACATAATTAAGTTGTTGTTTTCTTTTGTATTATTTTCTTTTCTCATTTAAAATGTATTGTTTAAGTTCAAAAGTTTGTTTACATGTGCTGTTACTTAAGCTTTTTCATATTTTGACATACACAGTATAAATGCAAAAGTAAAAAAAAAAGTTCTTTATTGGCTAAATTTAAAATTAAATGCTTAACATTTATCCAAGAACAAATGCTGTTATTATTAGGAAGTCAAGTAATATCAAGTAGCTCTTCTCACATTAGAATCAAAAGCTACATGTCATGCAGTGAAAACGCCTCTATAGAGTTACAAACAACTCTTCTCACCATGGATTGGTAACTCCTCTCAGCAAGACAGGTGAAAACATTATGTTACCCTTAAAGTTTTAATGGCACCCGAAATACGGAGAACAAAATGCAAATCTCCGACGACCATTAGTACCATTAGTACATGGTGAATGTCGACATTTGCCGGCGTAAGTCAGAAATAAGGATATTTGGCAAATATTTGGGCATGCACCAAGCAACTATGTGAAGGTCAACATTCTCCAAATCTCGATCTTTCACAGTAACATCAATGCTACGGAAGGTATGTAGGGTGTAATAAAAAGGGATTTTCGAAAGAAATGCTACCGGCAGTATGGAGGATAATTTTCATTTTTACTTTTGTGAATTAATGTGGCAATGGCAGTATACAAATTCTAGTTTAGATTTTTTTTTTTAATAGTTTTTGGATGCTATTTAAGGAATTCTGTGTGTCACACTAATCGAAGAAACAGAATTTTTTAAATAAGGTTAGTTGATATTTCCTTTTTGTACAG